ATACATTCATACACACAGATTTCTTGCATAACTTTGGATGTACTCCTTATCAAGAGACACAAATTCTAAATTCCTTAGCAAAAATTAAGCCCGATAAGAAAACACAGCCTTTTGCAAATGAGTAGAAATGTTGCATATGCTGAGTAATATTATTACAAAATGCTGCTTTCAGTGCAAAGTCTAAACTATCAGATTACTTCTCTTAATGGCTATTGTGTAAGTTGAACTAGTTTTTTCATTCTTAACATTTCAGCAAGCATGTCTTCTTTCACTGAACTATGATCAATTTTCTGGATATTTTGTTTCAGAAAAACTATTTTTAACCATAGAGTTGAAAGAAGCCACCTAGGCCAGGGGTCCCCAACCTATGGGCTGTGGGCTTTTGGCCAGCAGGCCACGGAAATGGCTGGCCAGTGCACGCACGCGTGGGCACGCATTCCCACCCCCCACTTGCTAGCATCCGTGGTCCCGTTTGTGCATGGGCGTGAACAGGGGTGCTAGCGTGGGGTGGATGTCTGAGGCCCTTTTGCGCATGCGCGAACAGGGACGCCAGTCCAGGTGGGTTGCACTGCCCATTTGCGCATGCACGAACAGGGACGCTAGCCACTGTGGAGGTGTGCATGGCTGTTCGCACATGAGCATGATGCCAGCGCATGCTGCATGCACGAACGGGGCTACTAGTGCCATACCAGCTACTCTCCTACCCTCCCGTCCGCGAGCCCGGAAAGGTTGGAGACCTCTGATCTAGGTCAATACGCTTTTTAGGGCTGGAATCCAAATTAAACCACAGATAGATTGCCATATAACCTCTGATTAAGCAGATCCAATAAAGGGGAGACTATCCTCTCTAGGCAATTGTGAACTGCTTCTATTTCAGGAAGTTTTTTTCTAGCTAATGAGAATCTATTTCCCCTTACCACAGATCCATTATTCTATGTCCTGCACTCCAGAATGAGAGAAAATAGTTTTCTTCCCAAGGTTCCTGAGATCATAATTTTGCAGAAATCTCATTTAGCATGACTAAATGTAATGTGCAAGAAACTTTGTCACTGAGTTCAGATACATAAAAGCAAAAAGCAACCTACTCTGTAAGAATCAAGTCTGGTTAAAGAACTACAATTAAAACATAAAAGTAAAGGTAAAGGTTTCCCCTGTCCAGTTGTGTCCTACTCTAAGGGGTGGTGCCCATCTCTGTTTCTTAGCGGAGGGAGTCAGTATTGTCCGAATACATTTCTATGGTCATGTGTCCAGCATGACTATATGCTGAAGTGCACGGAACACTGGTATCTTCCCCATCAAAGTGGTACCTATTTATCTACTCGCAGTTGCATGCTTTTGAACTGCTAGGTGCACAGGAACTGGGGCAAGTAATGGGAGCCCACCATGTTATGCAGTGTCTGGGTCTTGAATCCAGGCTGTCAGTTTTCCAGCTGACAAGCTCAGCATGTCTAACTGCTGAGCCACTGCACATAACTTAAAGTTACACACACAAAAATCTACACAATGCTCTAAACAGCATTTCAAAGTAATTCTGTATCATAAATTTCAAGACTTGGGTACTGAAAACATTTCTATACAGTATAATTGTAAAGGAGGTCTTTACTATATCCAATCTCTGTTTTTAGAATTTGTACAGAATTATTGAATTACCAAGCAGTTGATGAACAATTATTTCAAAACCTTTCCCACAGATAAAATACAGGCTAAAGGGAGGTAAAGGATTAACATTTATAATGAGGTTTTAGCTCCACAGGTTAGGAGCTAAAACACAGAAGGTTGCCACATATGACCCCCTAAAATGTACTAATATTTTAGCCACGACAGAGCTGTGATTAAAAAAACCCTGAACAAATATACTGTAAGAACCGGTTCTCAGTATTTGTAAAATCAATATAAAATTTCAATACCTTTGGAAGAAACAGGAGCTGTTTCCTATCCAAACTTAGAACTGCAAAACTCTTTTAGTTCATCAGAAAATATGGATGCATTATGTATACATTGTTAGAGAAACAATATACATACATGGTGCTTAAATGTAAGAAATAATCCCATCCCTACAAAGTGGATTTGCTCTAATCATATGACTAGTAAAGGACTTTAGCCACAGTTGCTAAATTTGACTTATGAATCAGTCTCTTGCTTCAAGAGATTCAGCTTAGATCTTATCAAAATTGACACTGGGGGAAATACACATGATAGAAATGCTGGGGAAACTAAAAACACCAGGAGCAAACCTTTGATATCAAAAAACAGGAGCGAGCAGAATGGCAAACATCTTTACTTGTATGCATGCAATACAATGGGAGTTACTTGTGTTAGGACTGTGGTCTTAAATATATGGTTGTGTAAACAATTGGATTATTTGGCTCTGGGTTTCAATAATTATGACTTGCCACTGAAGGAGAGTGACTGGGGCAACCAACAGGCCTCTGCTTTCACTCAGAAGCAGAATGGATTCTTTGTGTGACTGTAAAACACAGAAATAGACACTATCTTGGCATATCCAAGCTATTTAGATTCCAGAGTACAATACAATGACCTGATACACTGACTATACATGAAATTGGCTGCTGGAATGTGTATTCCATTGTTTACCAATGTTCAGCCACCATTCACTATTCAGCGTCCCCATCATTATGTTTAGTACACATTTCAGAGTAGCCAAATAAGTTTTCTATCAAGGGTACTTTGAACAAGAGAACATCAGTTAGACCTGACTCATAGAAAGGTTGAAATACCAATGGATTTTTCATTTTATTAGCTATATCAGATAAATATATTTCAAGCCCTCTATAAATAAACTTACATTTTAACTAAGACAACCGAAGTATTTCCAAATTTTGTTTATTCTTTAGAATCAATCAATCAATCAATCAATCAATCAATCAATCAATCAATCAATCTATCTATCTATCTATCTATCTATCCATCCATCTATCCATCCATCCATCCATCCATCCATCCATCCAAACTGGCCCCACCTTTCAAGCTGGGGGAGAGGGGGATTCAAAGCAATGGTCACTGGAAACAAGGCTTTTTCTTTTGATGTGTCCAAAATCGAAAAATCCCCCATTCCTCGCACATTTGCCAAGAACCATTATACAGTCCCCAAAATACATTTAAAGGTTCTATTGCTAATTTCTGTATCTCTAGTCCTCCATGTAAAAAATATAACGGAGTCAAAAAAATTGATTCGTTCTTCCTTCCTTCCTCTAGCTCTTGAGATTCCTTTGTTCCAACTCATTCATATCTGCCCGTCATTCCATACAGAGCAGCCGCAGTTCTCATTGCTTAACTTGAAATGCACATATCTATCTTGAGATACCTTACTTCAGTGTTTATTAAAGCTAGTCCTCAACTTACAACCATTCGTTTAGTGACCGTTCAAAGTTACAGTGGCACTAAAAAAAGTGCCATTTTTCACACAACCATTACAGCCTCCCATGGCCATGTGATCAAAATTCAGATGCTTGGCAACTGGCTCATAGTTATGACGGTAGCAATGTCCTGGTGTCACATGATCACCTTTTGCAACCTTCTGACAAGCAAAGTCAATGGGGAAGCCAAATTCACTTTACAACCATGTTACTAACTTCACTCCTGCAGTTATTCACCTAACTGTGGCAAGAAAGGTCCTAAAATGGAGCAAAACTCACTTAACTGTCTCGCTTAGTAACAGAAATGTTCGGCTCAATTATGGTCATAAGTCAAGGACTACCTGTACTTCCCAGATGTAATGCAAAACCAAACTGTGGTATCCTGCTAACCTGAGATTTCTCAACCTTGGCAGCTTGAAGATGTGTGGACTTCAACTCCCAAAATCCCCCAGTCTGAAGTCCACACATCTTCAAGCTGACAAGGTTGAGAACTACTGTCCTAGCGTGTTCTCCCTGAGCTGATAGCTTGTAGAAGCATAAGAAGAATCAGCTAATTTCCCTTCCCTCTCCTCTTTCACACAACCCCACTTCCTTCTTCTGGAGAAAAACAATTCATAAGAATTGCAGTCTAATTCAAAGAAACCTTTTAGAGCAATAAAACATGTTTTATATCTAAAGAACAGCAAGTCTCATTTCATACACAAACACAGCCAGTTTTTTTTTCTTTGCCCGACGAAGCAGCGTATCTTATTGGTACACAGCACTTAAATTGCAGCTTCTCTCATTTGGGCAACAGTAGAAGTAATGAAAACACAAAGGGAGGAATATGTAGCCAAGAGGCTCCTTCTTGATCCAACCACAGCTGACTGGATCTGAAGAAGGGCAGAATCAGAGATGTTGCCTCTGGCATGAAAGCTGGCTGCGTGACTTTGGGCCAGTCCCTCTCACTCAGCCCAACCCACCTCAAAGGGTTGTTATTGTGGGGAAAAAGAGGAGGAGGTTCACCCCATTGGGTTACTTATGAAAAAGTGATAATGGCAGGGTAAAAATCTAATAAAAAAGCTTCTCAATAGAGGTTTTTTTAAAAAAAAAAATTAAGTAGAAGTCATGAATAATGTTAAAACTTAGATTAAGGCTCTGTTTCTTAATATGCCATCTAAGATAATCAAATTATATTTTTCATGTAATTGTGCTGGTGTTTTTGACATTTGCAATTAACTATCACTATTGTGCATGTATTCCTTCATGATCAAACTCATGCAAATGCTACAAAGGAGGTGAGACTGATATCAAACTTATAAGGCATGATCCAAGGATTTACATTAAAAGTGTTTCAGTTGACAATCATGCCCTGTCAAAAATGTGGGGAGAGGGAAAGCACCATTCCATTTAATCTTATGTACTGAAACAAAATGAAACAAGATGGAACCTACTGCACTTTGTACAGTTTTAGATCGTGTAACAAGAAAAAAAGGACAGAAGCAATTCAGGATTAAATAATTCAGGAATTCGCAAGCCAGCACTAAGTTTAATTCCAGCAAAAACCGAAATAAAAAATAAAAAATAGCATCCATTTAACACAAAGAAACTCACTGAAGACTGTAATACTAATTAAATGCTTACCTTTTCTCTGAATAAAAATCCGAAGCAAAGGATTAGCAGTGGAGACTGCTTTGTGGTAGTTGTCATCATTATTAATTGGTAGGAGATCTCCATGAATGTCTGTATATCCAACTAAGACCTCAACATTGGGTATTTTGTGAACATGCTGAAGTAATCCATAGAATTCCTCAAATTTGCCAGGCTTTGATCTCTCCAAAGAAAACCGTCGGAACTCTGCACCAAACTATAAGAACCAGAAAACATTAGTAACACTCAGACAATAGGAAATATATCAGAATACTTTATAACTGTCAAATTGTCAATTACATGGTAGGGATTGCACCCAAGATAAGAAAATGAAAGTTCTTGTTCCCAATCATTTCTGAAATGTCTATATAGCTTTGCATTACAATAACATTCTCGTTCTCTGATGTTTCCTTTTGCACCCTTCTGTGGTCTCTATATGCCAAAACACTTCACATGTGGTATATAGCGAATTCCCACTTATCATGACTACAATAGAATACATGTAATTCAGGGCTGAACTGTGGAGTCCTTAATGTGGAGTGTGGCTGTTTGCTTGCAGATGTTTCATTACTTCACTAAATAATATCATCATGAGTTGAGTAATGAAACATTTGCAAGCAAGCAACCAAGCTCAGAGAGCATCAAAGGCTTCACTTATCATGACTGTTTATGCAACCCCACAAGAACAGAAATATGGGCTGAATAATTTTTCATTTCAGGCAAATTTTCAGTTGTATTTAATTTTCAAGTGATTAAGCTAAAATCTGAGAAGCTAAAACACACTGCAATTGCATATACAGTAACTTATTTAACTTTTTTTTGTCTGGTCTGACCATAAGGCTCTGGATAGTGCACAACAAGGAAAATAAAGCACAAGACAAAAACAAACTTCCCATCCCCTATTAAAATAGAATCACACATTAAAGGAAAGGTAATACACAAACACACTATGACCAAAATCCCATTGAAATAAGATGGTGGAACTGCCAATCAAGCATGGCAAAACAGGGCAACTGTTCCCACATTATATTCCAGAGGGAGGAAGTACATCCAGCAGGACCAAGAAGAAGGGCCTTTTCCATGGTGGCTCCCTCTCTGTGGAACATCATCCCCATGAAGATATGTTTGGTCCCCATTGTAACATTCTTTCACAAGTCCCTGAAGACCTGGTTTTGCCAACAGACCTGGGGAACCTAGAGTGGGATGGAGCTCATCAAGTGGCTTATTTGATTGATTGTTATTGCCAGCAGGTGGGGGTGAGGTTATTGCTTTTTATTGTTTTTATATAGGGTTTTTATTTTTGTAAACTGCCAAATCACTGAGAATGAGTTAGGTGGTCATATAAATTTTCTTAAATAAATAAATGTCAAGCTACTGGTCTTCCCCATTCTCACTATTCCCAAGATTCTTGTCATTCATACATGATTTGGCATATAATATTCAGTAACTTGAACAACAGTAATTACGGCACAGCAAACAAATGGATCTATACACTTGTAAATTTCTCTTTCCAACAAATGTGTTCTCTATCCAACACAATCTGGCTATTCAGTAAGTATGCACAAGATTACACAGTAAATCTCTTAAACCATTTCCCCTTTTCAGGTTCCACTACAATTGAATTCTATATGCTCTTCTGTTATGCTCCATGTTCTTGCTCACTCACTTCATAATCTAAAATTTATTTTGAAAGGAAATACCAAAGTACTTCTCTACATCCTTCTAAATCATTACCTTCCTAGCTTTGGAGGCTATCATTTAATAAGGAATGTGGTAGAAGCATTTTACACCTGAATGGACAGGATGCTAGATTTTTTTGGTTCATGCATGTCACTTACATAATTATTTAAGCCTGTATATTAGATGTGCAAGTAGAAGAGGAATTTATAAGTTTCCTTGTCCAATAGTTGCACCTGTGGATATTCCAATATGCTGCACTCTGTACAATCTCACAATGCCTCTGACAGAAATAGCAATGGAGAAAAGATTCAAATGATATTTTCTACATTTGAATCCAATCAATCAATAGACAACGCCTAAAGATGAAGACGCTTTTCCAGTTCTGCTAACAATGTTTTAAAAAATGTCAAGATAAACATGCAAAACCTTTAAAACCAAAGTAGTCAAAATGCAGAGAAACAAGCAACTGCCCCTACACCTACAGAAGTCTAAAAGAAATTACTAATGAGCCAAAGCAACAGCAAATATTATTTACTGGAAATAAATACACTAGGAAATCTACTGTATGTACATGCATGTTTGAACAGTTTTTAAACTGAAGTTCAAGTGTACGTGAATTTACTTTTCATCATTTCAACTTGCTTGGCCTAAATTTTTAAGAAACTTGATACATTTCCAACATCGCTGAGGTCTGAATTTGACTTAAATTTTACAGAGGCTTACATGCAGACTTGCGGCTGGAGATTTCACCTTAATCTTCAAGAGATTCCTGACCCCCTTGATTTTACAAGACCATTTTACATAGTCACAGATAGGTTCAATCAATTTACAGACCCCCCAGACGTTCAAGACAACATCCAGGTTTACAAAGATATACACAATGTCAGCAGGTTTATGGTCAAGTGAATCTTAAGGGACATGGTGTTCCAAAGGACAGGCACAATAACAGCGAAGGCAAGCTTCTTGATCCCACCAGTTGGTATTGCTTAACAGATGGGACCTGGAACACGCCTACCTTGCCAGAGTTAGTGGGATAGGCAGAGATAATCAGATAAGGAGTCCCACAAATAGCCCTGCCTCATGAAGGTCTTTATAGGTGGTAATTGTCACCTTGAAGTCTATTTGGGGGACCAGCGCAGCTTGCAGAGCAATGGTGCAACACAGGCATACTGTCTGCATCACTACATGCTGGGTCAATTGTAGCTTCTAAGTGCTCTTCAAAGGCAGCCCAGTGTAGACCACATTGCAATTGAGATGATCAAGGCATTAGCAACTGGGAATGGCGCTTCCTAATTCAGGAAAGGATAGGGTTCATAATTTTAGCAGTCAATAATACAATGATAAAATCTGAACTTAGAACTAGTTGTGAAAACAGTTATCACATATGGATGATTTGATCAAAGAAATAAAAAATCATTCCTGTTAAGTCTTTTTACTAGATTTATATCTCAGCTTTATTTGTATAACCTAGAATACCTCCCGCCTTCTATTTTTCACAACAATCCTATGAGGTTGACTAGACTGCAAGAGAACCACCTCAATACTCCACCTTGGCTTGTAAAGCATTTAAATAAATGGGCTTAATTTCAAACCATCTTGCATTCTTGTAAACATCTTTGTTTATAAGCCATCTAGAGTTGCTGTGACTAAGTAGACAACTATATACATTTTCTAAATCAGTCAATAAATAAAATCCTATACAGTCTATTAAGTTTATATTATACAATAATCAAACAAAACAGATGTTGTGTTATGTTGTCATACTTGTATATCTACATTTTAAAAAACTGCATAAGTAACTTCTGTCACATTGGTAGAATTATAGGCTGTTTCCAAATATTTACTCTGCAACCTTTATGCTTTGTTCCCTTACTTTTCCATGATCCAAGCCAAGCCAAGCCAATCTTGTTCAGTATTAGTATTTTTATTCACTGTGTGCTTATATCTAAGTACCAGAAAAGACCTATTTTTGTCCTATAAAAACAATAACATTGCATTATATAAAAAGTGGATTAAGAGAAAGTGACCGATGCAAAGTCATCCAGGGAGCTTCCATGCTCATAAAGAACTAAAAACTAGATCAGACACCATATTGGTTTTCCATAGTTCACTTGTTTGAGATTTGATACATTTTCCACAGGGCTGAAAATTTGTTTTTTTTTTAAGTAAAGAAAACTAAGCCTGCATTTATTATTACTCTTCCATCTTCGTTAGAGTGCTTTCGAAGATTGCTTCCTTAGCTTATTCATTTTCTTCTTGCACGCCATTACATTTCCCTCCATGATGTCTTATTTGTTTGTGTATTTCTTTTATTTATAAAATAATTTACCCACATATTTTTTTTGTTTTAATTTTTTTTACTTTATTCTATTATTATTTTCCCATCTATTTTTATTAAGCTTCATTACAGATCATAAACAGATGTATACTTAAGAGGGTAATAGAGATTAAAAAAAATCTCTTCTCCTGACCACATCATCATGCCATAGTTAAAAGATCAAGGATCAGATGAAAGATGAAAGGGAAAAAATATGATAATCTCCAGGCTCCATTCTTGTTCAGGATAAAAGGTTGTCTTAAGTCTGTCCCACACCTTCAGGATTGTTCAGTTTCCCAAATTAACTTTGTAAGTATAAAAATATTTGTAGTGCTAGATATCTTCTCAAAATGCAAGTAGTGTTGAAGATGCAGTCATGAAACAATGGTATTTGTTACACAGGAATATAACATGGATGGAACATATTCCCCCTGACTGGTGCCAGTCAGTTTTTTTCTGATTTGGATTCTTAGACTGTAATTTTTACTACAAAATTCAATGTATGCATGTGCAAAAAAAACCCTAGTTCTCTGCTTTATGGTCCTTTTACATGATTCTATAAATATTTCCCACTTATTTTCATCGTTTCACTACAGATCACTAACAGATGTATAGTTATGAGGAAAAGATAAATAAACATTTTATACTCATTAGCTTTTGTTATTCATAATTAAAGAAATAAACATTAGAGCTTTAGGAAAGATTGATTTCATGCCCTGCTTTCTGTATGCAACAGTACATGTTCAAAAGAAACATGAAAAGTGGCAATACATTGTATCAAGTGGCAAAAATATTGTTACTCAGATACAACTAGGAACTACAGTTATACCTTCATTTTCAGAAAGCTTTGGAACTTGCAGTTTAGAAGCGCAGCCAATCTGTAAAATCTACATATTATTGCGATATGGTGACCATTGCAAGCAAATTGTCTTAGTAAAAAGAAAGTTAAAAAAATAGGAAATACAGTACAGAGAACTTAGATTAGGAATACATTAATATTTTAAAGGAGTGGTAAACCTCGCTACATAAATAGGGAAACAAGAATATGCAGATTGTATTTCACATTAAATCTAAAACCCTGGAGGCCAGGTAAATGGTTTTTAAGGAACACATTTGTTGCTTATCTAAAATTTTAGCTATCATCAATAAAAGGATTTAAGCTATAACTCATAGCAATTACTGTCAAAACATAGTTTTTCCTCTTAATAAAGAACAATGCCAAAACCCTTCACCATATCTACTAATAGTTAACACAAAAGTAAATGAATGATAAAATGTTCTCTCCTAGTCAGACTATAGTATGACACATCCTGTTACTCAAAATGTCATGTGTATCACAGCGTACCTCTTTAATTTGTGGCATGACTACACAAATAATAAAAAGAGCAGCTTAATCTATAGAAAAGTATAATGTACTTGGGTGTGTACAAGAACACAGAAGTTTAGAAATCACCTCAGGGTACATATTTTGTACAGATACAATTAGCATATTCAGGGCCTCTGAATATTCCAAAATCCCCTAAAATGGAAATTAGTCTATGTTTTTTTCAAAAATAATCCACTGTAAAATTGTATTATTACATCAGTTTTGTTAACTTTTAATATCAGAACACAAGCACCTAGGTGTGCACAATTTCAAAAATGCTTATGGTATCCTGGTGAGCAATGTCAAGGGTATACTTAAATTTACATGGCTAAAGGAAACAGAAGGCTCAAAATGGCATCCCCTACACCCTGTTCATAAGAGATTTTACAAGTTCTTAAAATGTGATCTGATCTGCAACCAGATTAAAAATGTTTAAGCTAAAAAATATATAAAGATATTGAGGACAACTTCTAAATAATGTAGTACATAACATCTTTTAAATGTCATCTAAGGTTGTATGGCACACTGCAGAATCTGTGGATTAACGGCTATGCCTGGAAATGGATATGGTGACTAATCACTGCTTCCTCAGGTAAGACAGATACTTGATAAAAAACAAGAATACTTCTCCCACAAATAGCAAAAGAACAGAATTCTAATACAATTTCTGAGATTCTTCTGTCTGGGCAAAACTAGTTATTACAGCAAGGAACAAATATGCTGTGTGTAGAGCGGAACGCAAACTGTGGCAAAGAGGTAATGCCTACACATAACCACACCCTATTAGTTTATACCAATCATGAATATTGGCCAACATCTCCTACTTCTATAATCATCCATATTCCCTTTAAGGCTTCTTACTGTATCTTTACAAACACATAGATTATAAAGGCAACAGGGAATTCTAGCATTTTCCTGTACAAAACAAAATGGTTAATACTTAACTCAGAAGAGTTAAGTCATCTTCTAGTGAATTCCTATAGTGCAATTGTTGCACCTACTCATTTAAAGTACATTTTTAATGAAGCAGGATTCTGGGGACAAAATTACTACCTAGTTCAACTCACCTTCCAGCTGACACTTAATCCCATATGAATGTCACCTAACATGTCATAAGAAGGAGGGAGGGTAGGGGTAGGTTTTAGTGACAAAAAAATGAGATAAGTTTGTTTGGGGTGGGCAATTCATCATCAATCCACAAAGGTAACACACACGGAATGTTGTTTCTTCTTAGTATATAATCACATCCTAATCCTATCGGATTTTTTTTTTAAAGAAAAAGGTCGTAATTCAAGGTTGACGGTGAACTGTAGTCACCACCTCTGATCGAAACTATTTCCCTACACCCTACAGCAGGTACAATGCGAGCGCCAAATAGGTGGATGGGATTATTAAGTCCTCAACAGAAATGCCCTCTCTACATGGTCAGGAACACATTCACCCTCTGCTGCGAAGGGGTAATAAAAGCCAATCCTTAATTAAACGAAACCCTTTCTCGCCCCGAAACAAGACAGCCGCCTCCCTTAGCAATGTTGTCTTCCCTCCTTTAACTACAATTTTTTAAAAAATCGGACTTTTTTGGGGGGGGGGATTTTCCTCCCTCTCCCAGCCACTGAAGCCACACACGAGGAAGCCTATCCAGCTTCCCACTCTGCTTCGCGGACGCCACCCACCTTGCTCTTCACTTCCATAGTGCCGAGGCCGCTACCACTGCTTCCTCCACCTCGTTGGACCCGGTTCATGCCGCGCGGGAACTCGAAGGTCGGGTCGGCGAGGCGAAGGGGGAGAGCAGCAGCGGCTCGCTGCTCGGCCGCCTTCCGCTAAACCCGCCGCCTCCCGCCTGGCTCTGCGGGCTCTGCGGAATAGCAGACGCAAGCTCGCCTGCCCGGGAGCTAAAGCAGAGGGGGCGTGCGTGCGTACGTGGGTGCGTGCGTGCGTCTGCCGGCCGAGCTGCCTAGCGCTGGCACCTGCACCTCCAGGGAGGGGAATCGGGATGGGGTGAGACGGTGAGCAGGGCACGCATGCGCCGGGAGGGACAGCCCCACCGCACCTGCGAGCTCTAACGCGCCTGCGCGCTTGCTTCTGCGGGAGAAAGAGGAAAGAGGCGATACACCTGCTAGAGCAGGGCCAGTGGGGACGGGCCAGTGCGCTTGCGCCCGGCAAAAAAGGTGAAATACCTGCTGGCCTGGATTCCAAAGATGGATTAGAGGAGGGCGCATGCGCGTTTGGTTCACGCCATAGACAATTAATTGGGGGAAAGAGATCGGGAAATTCTGTCCGCAGGTGGGGGTTGCAGGTGGAAGCGCAAGTTTCAGAACAAGAAGCCTTCTCTGTGTAATTCCTCTTTTTGTACCGTGCCTTTTTTCCCCCCCAGCAAGAAATACAGGATTTTTCCCTTTCGTTTTATTCCACAACAGCTCCCGAGGAACTTCTTAGCTGAAGGAATGTCAGTCCAGAAGCTTTGATCCTAAAGAGGCCCATAGGCTGATCCTGATCAGGGAGAAGACAGACAGGATGGACATTAGGATGCAGACTCAGGATCTGGAACCCCTGTTGTGTTCAGCCATGCAGTAGTTGTATGGATGAGGTGGATTGAATAAACACAATTGGCCCAATTTATCATCATGCTTCACTGCATTTTAGCAAGGGTGATGTGAAAATCCAGGTGAAAGATTCAGACAATCGTATTTTGCCTGAAAAAGGCCCCCAATCAACGCAAAAGAGAAAAATCATCGTGCCTTCCACATTGTGCTGTGGAAAGAAGATAAGCCATGGCAAAGCATTGTTTAATTAAAAAGGACCAGAAATGCCAGGAGATCATATAAAAGATTTATAGAGGAACAGGAGGGTTGTGGAAAAATATCGCTGGCTAAATGATGAATTATGGGGACAAACTACTGCATGTTTGCTCATAGTAAAAGATATTTTTTGCAAATTCAGGCTGTTGTAAGATCTATGAATATTTACATACTGTGCATTGGGTATCATACCTGGCGAACATATAAGCTTTTCAGATTTCAAAATATCTGAATTAGGCAGAGCATTGCAGAAGGCATAAAATTGATCAGGTTAAAATGCAAAATGATATTAAAGATCTAAAATTCATTAATTCCAAAATGGCTGTGAACTAAAATTGCAAACACTAAGATAATGTAATATTTAGTATACATAGCTTATAATATTCTAATATGCTGGTTTAAAATTTTTCAGTTGTACCTAAAACAATCTCAGGACCAGGAAAAATGTAAGTGCCTACTAATCTAGAAATATCTTTTATATCTTAATTTTGAATAATTTAATTTTTTAATAATAAACTATTTTATCTTATTGCATTAATATTCCTTTGGATTTGGATCCCTGCATCTAGCTGTGCTTGATGATTATGCAATATACATTTTATTTTTAAAAAGGCATTTTTTGACTATATAAAAATATATTCATTCAACAAAGTGATACAGTTAGTACTAGGGTATGAATCAATTAAAGCTGTGGTGGCGAACCTATGGCATGGGTATCAGAGGTGGCACTCAGAGCCCTCTCTGTGGACACGTGCACCGTTGCCGCAGCCCCGCCTTCCCCCGCGGCCCCCTCCTCACCAGCACCCCCCCAGAGGAGAGTTGCCCCCGGGCGTGGTCCACACAGGGCAGCGCAGCCAAGGACATGGCAGACGGGCAGCAGGGACAAGACTCCGCCCTCGCACCCCATCACAGATGATACTGCGGGATGCTGGTAGAGGGCTTGGCTGCCATGGTGCTGCAAGGCCACCTGGGCGAACTGCGGCGGGTCATGGAAGCAGTAGGTGGCCCTGTGGGCAGGCAGGGCAGGGGGCAGAGCGAGTGGGGGAGGGGCGTTTTTTGGCCACTCCTTGTCTAAACGGTTTGCCATCACTGAATTAAAGGGTTCAATATAGCAATTAAAGGGTCCAGTATTTAGTCCATATTCTACTGCAATGAATTATACCAGATTAAAGCTTTAAAAAATGAAAAAGGGCTTCCTTTCATGGACCCTTGTGAAGTCATTGTAGTATTAATAAATTTTCACCTGTTATGGCAAGTATACAGAAGTTTTATTATATCTTTTAGTTTATCCTTTTAGTTTAGAGGTTTCTTGTTTATTTATACTCCTCCCCTGGTTGATGGTTTCACATGGTGAATGAGTACACCCACATCTGCAGAGACAAGAATTACCCCTCTAAAAGAAAATGTAGACTTAATGGCTAACAAGTTTACTTCAGTGTAATTTTGGGGAGTGAGGACTATTTTCTTAAAAGTAAGAAGAAAGAACTTGAATGTGGTAAACTTATGCTGGCTTGCAAAATAGTCTCTAAGTAAGAGGTAGTTGGTTTGCATAGAATAGAGTGAATGTGCTTGGGGTAAAGCTGAACTTTGGCTGCATTTGTATACTGTTAAAATGTGCCCAAACTCATTAGTACAGTACTTCCTGTTGGCGAAGTATATTGCAAGTGGCATGACTATGAGTAATGTTGGTAAGCTGATCTACACTGTCTTGTGAAAAAGCATTATATAAAAGTCTTAATTGACCAAAAGCATAATGATCACTGAAGGTCTATATCAGGGATGTCAAACTCATCACGTGACATGACGTGATATATCGTGACTTTTTTTTCATTGCTGGCAATGGGATGGGTGCGGTTTCAGCATGACACATCCGGCCCGTGGGCCAGCAGTTTGACATCCCTGGTCTATATTCATGAACCCCTCAGTTGATGGGCCATGGCTTATGGAAGATTGCAACTTGACATATAAAAGGAATAAATGTTTGAGTTAAGTGCAATGAATTGTGTAGTTAAAATTCTTTTTCACATGGCCAAATGTGTATACATTGTCACTGTCTCTCATATGAAGAAAACAAATGAATTTCTGGTGATCTTTTTGAAAGATGGAATAAAAATAACAAATTTATTCACATTGTTGGGCAATAATTGGAAATTATGCTTTTTTAAAAAAGTAAAGAGCTGTGATTATTTATAGCCAGACTGTTGAGTAAGTTGCTTTATAGAATTAAAAGGGATCTATTTTTGAGTATACCCGTATTTAAATAAATTTCATAATAAATAATGATTATCTGCATTTGGGATTCGGTATGTACAGTATACATATGGTTCAAAATACTTCAGCTCAACTGCTTTGTGATTACCCGTTTTTGCTTTGTGGAAATCACCTGCTCTCTTTAAATGTTGGATACTTAAGAAAAAAGGGACTAAAGTTTTAATTTCATTTTCAGATTTCCAGAATGTATAAGAAAAGACAGTTTCAGATTTTTTTTTCTATTTCTACTACAGAATTACACTGCAATATGAAGAATGTCACAAGTTTCTGGGGAGGTTTTGTCCAGTGGGTGATCCTACCAGCTTCTGAGCTAGACAAGCTAAGCTGTCGAGCTTTGAGTGGTTAAACCAATCCTACATGTGTAGTTTTATTACTAGAGGTTTATTGGGTTTCTATGAAGGAAGTTGAATTATCCTCTTACATTCCTGAAATGGTTGGAGTTTCTGATAAGAAGGGTGTGTCCAGAAGCTTTCTTGAAGTCAGCAAGGTACAGTCATCATGTGGAATGGGTGGATCCAAACTGGTGAAAAAGTATTTATAACACCATTCGATTACATCACAACAATAGGGGAAAGGCAGAGAAAAAAAGACAGACTGCTTAGTTTCATATAGAAGAGAAATGGACAAGCCTTCTGATCCTAGAAAGAGCACTGGCTTCGATAGTGATTACAGTCACAAGCTGTGAAAAAATCCATGAGTCAGACTCAACACAGATTTTTTTTTCCACTGCCCCCAAAGAAAGGAATGTTCTGTTTTCATGGAGCTGTTCAGGCTCAGATGGGGAGGTTGTTTTTTTTGTTTTTATCCTAATGCCAAAATGTAACATGTTCAACCTTTAAATCATTTTGAAGTATTAAAAGGTGCTCAGATTTTTTTGTAAAGAAGGAAGCTGTATTTTTCTGTTTTCCATAAACAAGCATTTGTGAAAGAAGATTGCAGCCTGGTGCCAGTTGCTCAGAAAAAGTCTTGTTAAACTGAGACCTGCTTTTGATTACACATATATAGGACTAAATACTAAATATAAAATATATGTTAATTCTTTTTTACAGCATGTCTCCTAGATACAGTATGCTTACCTACACATCATCCTTATTAAGGCTGATTGAAATACTCCCATGTAAATCTGAATAAGTTAAAAAATAATTTTGTAGATATAGAGAAAATCTTTAGCTTATTGCCTATAGAAGATCATTTGGGTGAAGCCTTGAAATGTTAACACATGGCACTTCACACTTTGATTTGCCAGCTGACTGATTCTAATACATGATGGTAATAACAGAATAACAGAGTTGGAAAGGACTCTGCTCAATCAGGAGTCCCTATATCATTTCAGACAAGTGACTGTCCAGTCTCTTCTTAAAAACCTCCAGTGATGAAGCACCCACAACTTCTGAAGGCATATATAGTATAAGAATTATATAAAGATAGTTCACAAAAATCCACAAAGATATTTAAAATGTTTAAAAACTGAAAAATATTGTAAGAATATTGCAGTCTCTGATCATTTATAATCCACAAAAGAGTGATAATTGCAGCATCCCAGGGCAATAAAATTTACTATCAGGGCAATAAAATTTACGGTCTAGGGCAGTGAAGGTTTAAAATCTTCCAGTGATTTTAAAATGGTCACTCAGTTTTCTCAGGAACATTCATTATATTATATTCAATTCATT